TATACCATACACAAAGATAAACCCTAAATGGACGAAAGACCTCAGTGTGAGTCAAGAATCCATTAAAGTCCTAGAAAACATAGGCAGTAACCTCTTTGACATTGGCCACAGCAACTTCTTTCAAGATACATCTCCAAAAGCTAGTGAAACAAAAGCAAAAATGAACTTTTGGGACTTCATCAAGATATAAAGCTTCTGCACAGCAAAGGAAACAGTCAATAAAACCAAAGAGGCAACCCATGGAATGGGAGAAGATATTTGCGAATGACACTATAGACAAAGGGCTGATATCCAAGATCTATAAAGAACTTCTCAAACTCAACACCCAAAAAACAAATACTCAAGTCAAAAAATGGGCAGAAGTCATGAACAGACACTTCTCCAAAGAAGACATAAAAATGGCTAACAGACACATGAAAAATGTTCATCATCATTAGCCATCAGGGAAATTCAAATCAAAACCACACCTTAGAGCTACCGCCTTAGACCAGTTAGAATGGCAAAAATTGACAAGGCAAGAAACAACAAATGTTGGAGAAGTTGTGGAGAAAGGGGAACCCTCTTACACTGTTGGTGGGAATTCAAGTTGGTATAGCCACTTTGGAAAACAGTGTGGAGGTTCCTCAAAAAGTTAAAAATAGAGCTACCCTATGACCCAGCAATTGCACTACTGGGCATTTACCCCAAGGATAGAGATGTAGTGAAAAGAAGGGCCACATGTACCCCAATGTTCATAGCAGCAAAGTCCACAATAGCCAAACTGTGGAAAGAGCTGAGATGCCTTTCAACGGATGAATGGATAAAGAAGATGTGGTCCATATATACAATGGAATATTACTCAGCCATCAGAAAGGATGAATACCCAACTTTTCCATCAACATGGATGGGACTGGAGGAGATTATGCTAAGTGAAATAAGTCAAGCAGAGAAAGTCAATTATATGGTTTCACTTATTTGTGGAACATAAGGAATAACATGGAGGACATTAGGAGAAGGAAGGGAAAAATGGAGGGAATTCAGAAGGGCAGATGAACCAAGAGAGACTATGGACTCTGGGAAACAAACTGAGGGTTTTAGAGGGGAAGGGTGTGGGGGGATGGGTTAGCGTGGTGGTGTGTATTAAGGAGGGCACGTATTGCATGGAGCTCTGGGTGTTATATGCAAATAATGAATCATGGAACTCTACATCAAAAACTAATCATGCACTGTATGGTGATTAACATAACGTAAAAAAAAAAACAAAAGGAGAGAATGTAAAAAAAAAAAACCTGATACCATCTGGGGAGAGTGTTCTATTTGTATAGAATACTTAGAATAAATATGTCTTAATTCTTCAGTTTTTACAGAGTGCTAACTCATGCATTTTTGCTAGAAGGTCATAAAAAACTAGAGTCAGTCTAGTTTTCAGAGCCCTCAGCCCATTCTTTTCTTGTCTCTGGATCTGTTCCATCCTGGTTTTTTACAGGTCTGGACCCTGTGCTTCTGCTCTTTGTGCTTTTGAATGAGCTTGGTTTCCCCATCATTACCCCCTGTGTTCCTATATAAGACTGTGGCTTGTGTTCAGTCCTGTAGTGTTTTGGGCTCTGGGCTGCTTTGGATGGTATATATTACCCTGGCCCCTAAGACACAACCGACTCTGCTTGTACTCCAGCTACTCCCCAGGAAGAATGCAGGCCTTGCAAATTGTATTTCTTCTATACTGACACAAATCAAAGCACCTCATTAAGTAATTTGTTCTAATCAATGACTGGTAACTATATTTTTTTACAATGACAAGAAGCATCACATTTATGTTGAAAGGTTTTATAGTAAAAATTGAAGTTGCGAAATTCAACTTTAATTCCAACACAGATACTTCAGAGAAATATCAAAGTTTTAAAAATTCTAAACATTTGAGTTACTAAAATCAGTGGGGAAAACAATACCTCTGTAAGATTTAACCAGATATTTTCCAAGATAGTGGTTTTGTTTTCCTTGGATAAATATCTAGCAGTGGAATTAATGGATCATATGGTATTTCTGTTTTAAAGTAGGCTCTATGCTCAGTGTGGAGCTCAGTGTGGGGCTTGAACTCATGATCCCAAGATCAAGAGGCCTGAGCCACCCAGGCGCCCCTCTATTTTAAATTTTTTTGAGGAATTTAAATACTGTTTCCCTAGTGGCTGCCCCAATTTACAGTCCTACAGACAGTGCACAAAGGTTCCCCCCCCCTTTTTTAAATGATTTATTTATTCATGAGAGTCAGAGAGAGAGAGAAACAGAGGCAGAGGGAGAAGCAGGCTCCCCGCCTAGCAGGGAGCCCGATGTGGGGTTTGATCCCAGGACCCCGGGATCATGACCTGAGTCGAAGGCAGACGCTTAACCATCTGAGCCACCCAGGCGCCCCCAAAGGTTCCCTTTTCTATATACCCCCACCAGCACTTGTTATTTTTTGTCTTTTTGATAATAGTCATTCAAACAGGTGTGAAGTGATACCTCACTGTGGTTTTGATTTGCATTTCCTCATGATCAGTTGTGTTGAGCAACTTTTATGTACCTGTTGGCCATTTTTTGTCTTTTTCAGAAGAATGTCTTTTTGGTTCCTCTGCCCATTTTTAAATCAGATTGTTTTTTCTCTATTAAGTTGTACGAGTTCTTTATATATTTTGGATATTAACCCCTTATCAGTTATATGATTTGTAAGTATTTTCTCTCAGCCATAGGTTGCCTTTTCACTTTGTTGATGGTTTCATTTCCTGTGCAGCTTTTTAATTTGATGTAGTATCACTTGTTTATTTTTGCTTTTGATATCAAATCCAAAAAAATTATTGTCCAGATCAGTGTCAAAGAGCTTATCCTCTTTGTTTTCTTCTAGGAGCTTTATGGTGTCAGGTCTCATGTTTCTCTAATCCATTTTGAGTTGATTTTTATGTATGATGTAAGATAGCACTCTGGTTTCATTCTTTTGCTTGCATATGGATGTTCAGTTCTTCCAACACTATTTATTGAAAAAACTATCTTTCCCCACTTTGTATTCTTGGCTCCTTTGTCCTAAGTTAATTGACCATATATGTGTGTGTTTATTTCTGGGTTCTCTGTTTTGTTTCATTGAGCTATGTGTCTGTTTTTGTGCCACTACTGTACTGTGTTGATTAATATAACTTTGTAATATAGTTTGAAAACAGAATGTGTGCTGCCTCTAGCTTTGTTTTTCTTTCTCAAGGTTGCTTGGCTATTCAGGGTCTTTTTTGGTTCCCTACAAATTTTAGGATTGTTTTTTCCCTTTCTGTGAAAAATGCCACTGGAATGTTGACAAAGATTGCATTGAGTCTAAGATTGCTTTGGGTAGGATAGACATCTTAACAATATTAATTTTCCCAGTCCATGAGCAGGGTATATCTTTTCATTTATTTGTTTCTCCTTAAGTTTTTTCACCAGTGTCTTACGGTTTTCAGTGTACCATTCTTTTACCTCTTTGTTAAATTTATTCCTAGGTAGATTATTATTTCTGATGCAATTGTAAATGGAATTGTTTTCTTAATTTCTCTTTCTGGTAGTTCTTTTTGATCTAGTCTGAGATGAGACTGAAGGAACAGAATTAAGTGAGAGGATTGGGGGTCTTTTGTAGTCTGGGAAGCATAGGGCAAACACAATTTGGATTGGAAATGTATTTGTAAATTAAGACTAAGTAAAGATTAAGTTAATCTAAGTAAATTAACCACTTTGCTTAAAGGATTTGAAAAACCCCCCAGTGTTCAGAGATATTGAGTGTTCTACCCAGGTCATTGGCTAATTAGTGGCAGAGTTGACAAGAATCCAGATGTTCACTTTCACCCTTCTCAGAATCTAAGTGATAAGTGGCTTCCAGATACACACAATGAAAATAGATTGCCATGTGAAGTCTTTATTAGTTGACAAAAAAATCTAAATAAAATCATCAGAGTTCTCAGTAGTAGTAACACAAAGTAAAAATACCTCCACATCCCAAATTAACATTATCTTTCTATACCACGTAGGTAGTTTTTATTCTCCTGTTGACTAGAATCAGGGTTTATTTTCAGAGACAATTTTGCAAAAATGACATCAGGGCAGTAGTTTGGTATGGTTTGCTTTAAAACACATTTAAATAGATGGCTAAAACTTTTAGAAAATATTCTGCTGAATACATTTCACACTGAATTAATTGAATTAGTAAGATGAAATTAATTGAATTCATAGTAAAATATTATAACCACCATGTGAACATACACAAAAAGTCTTCTTGTGATTCACAGAGGCTAGAATGAAGTACATTGGATTGAAATTAACTTAGAGATAATACAGTAAATATCAACCATAAAACCTAAACAATTATGTGCTCTCAAGTATGTAGTGCCAGAGATCTGGCTTGTTCTTGGCTGCCAGATTTTGTTTTCACCACTTAAGATCTTCTTTTCAAATCAACTTTCTTCTTCCTTGGTTCACATTTTGTGGAATGGAATTGGATTTAAAGATTTAAGATGATTGTCTAAAGAATTTTTGTCTTTAATCAGTAATGCAATGATAGGTCTATCTAGATTTACATGTTTTTGTTTGAGAGACCTAATTTTAACCCTTTTTATTTGTGGGATTAGTTCAGGTGGGTTCTTGGTTGGGGGTACAGAGTAGTGACCTTATGGTTTCCAACATTTAGGAAAAGTAAAGGGCTCCTGATTCATATAATTTTCTCTGTTTAGCTAATGTCTCCCCCCACTCCCCAGCGGGCTATCTCCACAAAGTGGAGATTCCACAAAGTGATCTTAAATTATGGTTATGCACCTGTTTTGTGGGATAGAGGTGGTTTTTCATGTTAATAAGTCATGTGAGGTAAATCGATTCAAAGATTAGTAATAGTGCTTTACATTTGAGGAATATTATAATTTCACTTTGAGATTGGTCATAAAAGTAAAGGTGGTAGTTCTGCACTCATAAATCATATCTGACAACAGAACACTTCATGATATATGATGTACTATTTCTTTTGTGTAATACCAGAAATGTACTTTATTATATTATAAATATATTGCCAGAATTGAGAATTTGCATTTTGGCTGGAAGGTGAGGTTGTTTGTTCAACAGTAGTTTGAGTAGTGGCTGGAGTGGTAGTTTGGGGTGTGGGTGCAGTTGTAGTTTGGGAAGTTTCAGGTGCAGGAGTGGTTGGGGAAGGATTAGGTGTGGTATTTGGGGCAGCTGTGGTGTCCGGCAAAGCTGGGGAAGGTTGTGGTGCTGGTGTAGTTAGGGAAGATGTAGATGGTGCAGCTGTAAGCTCTGGCAGAGGTGGGGGAGATGTCAGTGGGGCAGCTGTGGTGTCCGGCAAAGCTGGGGAAGGTTGTGGTGCTTGTGTAGTTAGGGAAGATGTAGATGGGGCAGCTGTAGGCTCTGGCAGAGGTGGGGAAGATGTCAGTGGGGCAGCTGTGGTGTCTGGCAAAGCTGGGGAAGGTTGTGGTGTTGGGGTAACTGCAGGAGAGCCCGTGTTATTTTCTTTTACAAATATGGTGGTGGTAGTCTGAATAAGAGAAGTCACACCTGGAGATTCAGTAATTTTGTTGGAAGTAGATGTGGGACTCAAAGATGGGATTTGAGTGGTAGCCCCTGAGGTGTTGTTATTGACCACGGTGTTATTTTTAACTGGACACCTAGATGGCTGGCGATGTTTTGGCCTTGGCTTTCTCTTGATTGGATATGAAGGCCTTGGGTATTTGTATGGACCAAAAATTAAATGCTTTTGAATTAACATATTCCAGTTAGGTTGAAATTTTTGATACAGTGGTAATCGGCGGTCTAATATATGTTGTAGGACATAATTCTTTCTGTGCTGTGTTTTCCATGGCCTTTTTCGACCTTCACTGAGCTGTGGGAAGAAAGAAAACGCAAGAACTGAAAACATCCATTGATTTATCAACTAGGGGATTATTGCTGAATGTTGGATGGGCAGTATTTATGGAGTTTTGGGAATGGAAACCAGATTGCAGTGGGTTTAGTGAGTATTGTTCTAATTTCACCAAATCTCAAGAACAACTTGCTATTAGTTTATTTTGTCAAGCATTTATTTCTGAGCTAGCTACAATGGATATATTCCTGTGGGTTCAAGCTTGGAGGATTAGCTAGATCTGCCCTTTGTGCTTATAGTTCCTCTCTTCTTCCTCTGTTAGAAAATGATTAGGTTACTGCCTGAGGACCGAGCAAAAGGCCACCCTGTTTGCTGCGCTCTGTTCATGAAACTTCTGTTAAAGACGTTCAACTGAGATCAAGGAGTCTTTTCTGAATCACACCTTTCACATCTGCCATCATCAAAAAACAAAACAACAAAATCCCAAACAACCAACTTAACAAATATCCCACTTCACCTTTTATATCCTCCACATCGAAGAAAACTTAGTTTTTAGCTTTTTTAAATTGGAAAAAGAACTTTAGCCATTAATATTTATTTAAAGTAGGTTTCACACCCTACGTGGGGCTCGAACTCATGATAGCAAGTTCAAGAGTCACAAGCTCTACAGACTGAGCCAGCCAGGTGCCCTGGCCGTTACCTTTAATTGTAAATTATAATTACAGAAACTCGGGTCAATGAATCCTATGATATTGTAGGAAAATTTTGCATGTTTATGCATTTTGTCTGCAGAGAACCTATAGCTTTCATGATTTCTCAAAGATGTTCACATCTGAAAAGAATACTGATTTAGTCCAGTTCCACAACCAATACTTGATCTTTTTTTCCAGTACACCTGAATGGCTTTCCAGCCTATGCTTGACAACTTTTTCTAATTCTCTACCATGTCTCACCAGGTTGCCTGGTAGGGAGTTCTTGATACTAAATGGATTTTTTTGCGGGGGGGGATTTCCATTCTTAGCAGAACAGAGAATTTTTTTTTTCAGGTATTCATTCTTGGTCCTAATTTTGCACTTGGCAGCACATAGAAGATCCTAGAGACCTTCAAAATTCGAAAATATTTTACCATGTCATCTGGGTTTTATATTCTTCAAGATTAACATTCTTAGTTCCTGACATTATTTGAGTTAGAGTTCCACTACTGTTTCAGTATCTTATCTCTAAACATACTGCAATTTGTTTATATCATTTTTTTCCTGCATTTCATCTCATACTAAAATTATCAGTTATATTAATTTAGAGAAAAGAAATATTAACATAAGGATAAGGGAGCACATGCCAGAATTCCAAGCAAGGATAGGTTACTTTTTACCTCCTGATAATTTACACATAAACCCTTCTGAGACCACCCAATAGATAAATCATTCCGGTCTCACACTATAAAGCTTGGCATAGGCAAAGGTGACAACTTTTGAGAGACCAGCAGTGTTGTTCAGCTAAGATAACTTCTTCAGAGACTAATATATACAACCTTAAAATAACTTTGGAAAGCATGAGTTGTTTGAAAAAATTTATTCAGGACGTTTTAGTTCATAACTTAGAATGTTCTTAAATGAAAATATTGGCTTGTGACCCACATAACTGGTATTTTTGCATAGCTCTCTTATAAATGGGCATAGAATTCCAGAGTCTGCAACTCTGAATCTGGGATGCTCATGGAACGTCTCAGAAGATGTTCTTATAGGGTAATATTTTTCTAATACGAAATAAACAGGTCATATTGTTCTGGCAAATTTTTCAAGATTCAGTATGTGATCCAGATAATTAGAAAATTGCTTTGATTGAAGCAGGATTGGGGGCCTTGAATTCCACCAGCTCCTTCTCTACTTTTTCTTGTGGTGTTTGAGGATGGTGAGAAGAACTCCCAGATCTTGAAGGAGGATGTTTGAAACACACTGCAGCAGACCATCAGGAGAGGTTTGGGTCTGTCCGGCATCTGCCATTAATACTGAGTGACTTTGGGCAAATCACTTAATTTCACTGGATCTCAGTGTACTCATTTATGAAGTGATGCAAATTAAATTGCAGATCTGAAGTCTAATTCTATGACTTCTATACTTTGAAATATTTAATACTGTTCATTCCCTTAATCAGATGATTAAATTCATGAGGGTGGGGATTTTGTCTTGTTAATCTCTGTATGTCCAATATCTAGAACTATGCCTGGCTCATAATAGGCACCCCTTAGATATTTACTGAATGAACAAATGCATAGAATTGATAATAAGCCAGATTTCTCATCAAATAAAATCTTAACATTTATAAGTGTTTATTATGTGAAAAAGTTTCAGCTATTTTAATTTAGATGACCAAAAAATACCTGTGATGTTTTACTAACTTTGTTAGCATAGAACATGTATCAAATGAGCAGTTTGACTAGTTTACTTAAAATATATTGACTAATTATCATTAAGATCGGCAGTTATGGATGGCTCTGACAGGACTTTTTGACTAGAATTGGGATTAGGGAAGTTTGAGAGGGGGACAGGTTGAAAATGCCTCTAAGGGTTTGAGCTTAGATTTAAGGATGGAAGTGCTTATAAATATAAAGCCAGGAAGAGCATATTTAATACATCCTCATTTGCCTGTTCACATCTGTCATTATCTTTGTAAAAAAGTCCTTTTACTTTTTGTGCACTTACCTTTGTGTCAGGCCTTATTTTAAATGGTTTCCAAATATAAGTTTTCTTAATTCCTTAGCAACACCAGAAGGTGAGTTCTATTATTATTCTCATTATACAGATGAAGAAACTGAATCCCAAAGAGATTAAGTAAATTTTAGGAAATGTGCTTTATAAGAAAAATAGAAGGCCATGTCCTTCTATTTTTGATAAGGGAGAGGGGCAGAGGGAGAGGGAGAAGCAAACTCCCCTGCTGAGTAGGGAGCCCATTGCAGGGATCACGACCTGAGCTGAAGGCAGATGCTTAACCAACTGAGCCACCCACGTGTCCCAGACCCTAAATATCTTTTAAAGGTAGGGCCCATTTTACAATCTCTTGGTTTTGGAAACTACTTTCCTGTCCCCTTTGTGCTTCCTTCATTTTCCCTATCCATATCCAAAGCACCTACATGTTTTCTCTAGGTAATCTTATAAGGTCCCATAGCTTCAAATACCTTTAAAACATAAACTTTACTCTTAAACTTCTTTTTGAACTCCAGACAGTGTATATCCAATTGCCTTTTGACATCTCCTTATAGAAGTCTAATAGCCTTTCAAATTTAACATGTCTAAAACTCTTGTGTTCATTTCTTTCTTTCACTACACACCTAAGCAGCATAAGTTATGGCAGACTTAATCACCAAACTATATCTTAAATCCACCCTCATATTTTGTTTTAATTGCTGACATTTAGTGCAAGATACCATCATCTTTTATCTGGACCACTGCCTTAGCTTCTTGCCTGTTTTCTCTACCTTAGCTTTTGTCCCCTGAAATCTGTTTTCTCCCCAGGACCCAAAGTCAGGTCCTTCCCCTGTGGACACACTAGTCATCCTGAGGTTTCCCAGTATACTGAAAATGGTATCCGTGTTCTACACCGATGAGGCCCTATATGATCCATTTTTTCTGCATCTCCATCTTACTTCATCACACCAATGATAAAGTTAGTGATGTGGAAATATTGATTAAAATGAATGAAATGAATCATTTCCTAGTGCTTTAATTAGCTGTTTTTTTTATGTTTCACAGAAAACAAAAGATGTTAAGCTTCTTAGAAATAGGAATTGCGTGTACTTTTCAAGTCTCAATTAGGTATACACACTAAATGTTATCGATATATAAGAATAACAGTTACTTGGGTGGATACTTACTGAGAAGCAAGCACTCAGTGCACAGATGCACGCCAGCAGTGTCAGAGTCTTCATCTTTTTCTGCTAATTCTTGGGAAAAGCAGAAAAGTTGCTCACTATTAGTTATGATATTGTGAGAGATGGGATGTGTTTTGACAAATGACTTAGTTTTGTTAGAAAGTACAATTTAAAAGACAGCAGTGGTTTCTGACAATTGTGTATATATTTTCATTCCATAGTGGTGAGGCAAAATTACTTCAAGCTAAAACACATTCTTTAAGAGAGAAAGTAATGGAGGAAAGTCAAGAATTATTATTCTTATAACTAGTTTGTAGGATGGGCATTTTCCACTGATACTAAAGTTTGCCTAGGAAGGGCAGGATCTTAGGAAGTTTAACAATAAGAGAATGAAATAGTTTCCTTTTTATTTCTATTCTAATCCTAGAAACTTCCCTGTTTGATGAACCATGATACAAATTATCTGATGTTTATTGAGCAGTAAATGTTCATGATTTTGTAAATGTTCTATGATGTTCTTTTAAGCAAGGAAAGTGTTCCTTGTTTCTGTTTTATAAGGCTGTTACTTAGGACTAAGAACCATATCAAATGGACTCTTTCCCAAACTTCTTTCTACTGAAGATTTTGCTACCTGATGCCCTTTTTCTAAATCCCTAAAGGATGGAATTATGTTTTATTCATTTTTATATCATTGTAGTCAGTAGAGTGCAGATTTAATCAATTAAAAAATACTTCCAAAAATAATTGTACTTTGGTTTTAGGTTGTAGGAGGGGAGAGTAAGGAAAGGACATGGCCTTCTATTTTTATTTTGATCATGTATACAATATGTACATATCAACTTGATTTCAGAAAACAAAGGTAAAATTATTATGTAGAACAAGTACTGTTAGGGCAAGTAAATTCCCACGTCAATGTGGTGTGCTGTCAGATCAGATAGATCAATAGATCAATAGAGCCCTGCTGTTTATCACACTGGTGTTAGAGTCAGTCATACTTGGTTTAAATCACCGCTTTGCCACTTACTGTATGACTTTGAGTGAATTGCAAACCTGCATTTTAAGGTTGTACTGAAGATTGACTGGAATGATGTATATTACAGATTGTACTGGGCACAATGTCTGGTCTATGATAAAGGCTTAGTGGTGGTAATTATTATAGTACGAGTATACCAAGAAGAAAACCATCTGGCCCAACTGGAGAAAGGAGTTGTTATTATTATATTATCAGATTCCTAATATCCTGTCAGAGTTTCTTCTCAAGATTAAAAAATATTCTCCACTGGGTGGCTCAGTTGTTAAGCGTCTGCCTTCAGCTCGGGTCGTGATCCCAGGGTGCTGGGATCGAGCCCCACATCGGGCTCCCTGCTCCGCGGGAAGCCTGCTTCTCCCTCTCCCACTGCCCCTGCTTGTGTTCCTTCTCTAGCTGTGTCTCTCTCTGTCAAATAAATAAAATTAAAAAAAAATTCTCCACTGATTATATTTTCTTCTAATAGCATATGAGTTGAGTCTGTTATCACATAGTGTAGCAGTTCACAAGAAGAGAGGAGAATAACTATTATAACAACTACTACTATTATTACTCAATATATGTGTATAACTTGAAAGCTGCTTAGTTAACATTAGATATATTAGTCCCCGATATATCTAAAATATTCATATACCTGGCTTGGTGTGATTCTTCTTAGGATGTTCGATCCAATTGATGGCTTTCAGCTGATCCTTTTAGGATGGTAACTGGAAGCAAAGGAGGAGAAAGCACAAGAGAATTTTCAGGTTTTATAGCTCTTCAGTAGAATTTTTTGGAAATAGGAAATGTATGAGATTCATGTTAAGGTCACTTCTGTCAAAGAATTTGATTTCAAAGACAAAGAGAGGATAGTTGTAATTTGCCGGGGTTGAAAGCAGTCCTTTGTGCATCAGTTTCTTCCTGATCAATATGGTAACAATAAGCTTCTCAGTGAATAATTTACTTGATTGATGAGAAGTATGATAGTGAATGATGACACTTAAGAAGACTTGGACAGCCATGGCTCAGGTCTTCCAAGTAGGAACAGATCTTCCACACTTTCCTGTTGGCTTCTCAAAGTAAGCAGAGGGATTGCCCTCTGACAGTTTCATATGATGGAGCACCATTTTTCCTCTGTCAAGAAGTATGATTCAGCTAAGGTCAGAGGATTAAAAAAAATAACATGATGCTAAATCCTGGTAAAGAACATTTGTTTCAGAGCTGAAAGATAAACACTGACTTCTTTCATGTGAGCAGTTTTTGAAATTTTGTCTTTTTATTTTGAGAAAACTTCAAATATACAGGAAAGTGAGGACAGTTGCAAAATGAACAACCATACACTTGTTCCCTAGATTTCTGTCTTTTTAACCTTTTGCTATAGATGCTTAATTGATTGTTTTGCTGTAATATTTTCAGGTAAATTACAGAAATCATGAGAGCTGATCTCTAAATATTTCATAATAATATTTCTTTAAATCGTTAACTCCAAAAAAACCTTTGTCTTGTAACAAAACAACTGTAACATCTAACAACATTGGTGATTCACACATAACATAAAACTCAGGCCATATGCGAATTTCCTGAATTTTGCCAAAATAATTTTTAGTTGTTTTGTTCTAACCAGGACTCAGATAAAGAACATGCATTACATTTACTTGTTTTATCTCTGGTTTCTTTTATTCTAAAACATTCTCCTCTCTTTTCTCCCATGATATGATCTTTTGAATGATTAGACCAGTTGTCTTATAAGTACTTATTTTTAAAAAGTTTAGAAACCATTTTTATAGATTTCAGAATTAGATACTTTTACTGTGTAAAATCATCAAATTGGAATACAATTTTGAAGCTGTGATTGCACTTCTAGCTAGTCAGTTTGTTCTTTTTCACATCTGATCCCAGGGTAAGGGCAGGTTCAGAAGTAAATTGGGTTTGATTCGTTGCTTCTCCAGTTAATAAAAATATAGTATTTGGCAAGTTATCTAATTTCTCTAAACCTCATTTTCCTATCTACAAAATAGGAATGGCATCTATCTTATAAAATTGCTATGAGAAAAACATTAGATAATTTAAAGGGTCTCATATGGTGCTTTAAAATTTTAAGCCTTCAGCCATTGAATTGCCATCAGAGGGTAGTAGTTTTTGACATGGCATTGAGTTAGTGCATATAGGTTATAATATCAATTTCTTTCCCCCCTTTTGCTAGTAACCAGTGATATATATTTACATTATGCTTGTTGTAGTCAAAATTGACTGTGGAATAGAATTTTTATTGATATGAAACAGGTTTTTCTGAGTCTATGGCTTCATTAGAACAATTCTCAAACTACCTTAAGTTCTTAATTGATGATTTGTAATGACCTGAAAAATTGATAGGATTTCTAGAAATGTTTATTTCCAGTCTTGATCCACACCTGTAGATTTAGTTTTCTTTAAATATTGGAAAAGCGGGGCGCCTGGGTGGCTCATTCGGTTGAACGACTGCCTTCGGCTCAGGTCATGATCCTGGAGTCCTGGGATCGAGTCCCACATCAGGCTCCCAGCTCGGTGGGGAGTCTGCTTCTCCCTCTGACCCTCTTCCCTCTCGTGCTTTCTATCTCTCCTTCTCTCTCTCTCAAATAAGTAAGTAAAATCTTTAAAAAAAATAAAAAAATATTGGAAAAGCATAAGAATCCAGTACTGTTTAGCTTTTATTTTTTAATTAATGAGTATCATTTATTCTTTGAATGTTCTTGCAGTATGGGATCCACTTGGCATTTTAGGAATTCATAATCATACCAGAGCAATTATACATGTCAATGATATAATTCTTGGAAATAATGTATGGAAATTACCAACATCTAGACTATAAATCAGCATTATGACATATTTTAAATTAGCACTGAGTTTTGTGACATGGGGTACAACTGATAACCTCACAGCATACTGGCCATTGAGTTCTGCTCTTCTGGAGTACAAAACTGGCTGATTTTCTGCTCCTCACTCACTACACTCCACCTCTACACTAAAATATTTCATGGTTGGAAAAAAAAAAAGATTCTCACCTGATTCAATCAGGATCAGATGTTAGTTAATAGAAAAGTCCATTAAAGCAGACTTCATAGTGGAAGGCTTTTACTAACCTTCTTTCTACACTGACACCAACCCCATGGATTTTTCAGATTCTTTTACGCTTTCTAATATTTGGTAGACATAATTAGAATATGGAGAACATCAGTTATTTCAATCAGTGGATTAAGACAATTTTTATTGTATCAGTGTTATCTTGGGATTTGTTTTTGTAGTTCGAAATGTATCTTCTGTTTTTACTAAAGTTGAGAGTTGACTTCCGTTTAGAGTTTTGAGGAAGTCTTTGCGGGATGGAAGAGACAATAGAATCCACTTGCAGGTTTACAGAAATAATCTGAGATAAAAAGCAAGTGAATTTATTAATAACACCATGGAAGATTGGCCTGGAAAAGTGGTAGGGAGTAGTGTCTCAGCTTGGTCTAGTCTTGGCAGGGACTCTATAATCTATCATCTATCTATGCAAGAAAAAAAGAAAGCATTATTTGCATCTTCTTTAGTTTTTGATTTCTTACTATGATCTGTTTTATCTATATTATCAATCCTAATATCTTAAATGTGTCCTTTTTCTTTTCTTTTTTTTAAAGATTTTATTTATTTATTTGAGAGAGAGAATGAAATAGAGCATGAGATGGGGGAGGGTCCAAGGGAGAAGCAGACTCACTGCTGAGCAGGGAGCCCGATGCGGGACTCGATCCCAGGACTCCAGGATCATGACCTGACCCGAAGGCAATCGCTTAACCAACTGAGCCACCCAGGCGCCCCATGTCTGTTTTCTTTTCAAAGTAATTCCATATACTTCATAACTATCAATGTTCTAGAACAGTTATTGGAATTATTAGAAGTATAGTATTCTGGAAATTTGTCGGGCACTCATTTTACTTAATGTAACAAAGCCAGTGGACCAACAATGGATAATGGTGACATTGAAATCTTCTTAATACTGCTTTCTCTCTGTCTGTTATGGGAAGGTTAGATAAATAGTTTGTACTTTCCAGTTAATACCTCATTTGGTATTTTCCATTTCTCCCACTTAAGTTAACTTGTCAGTCTTTCTTTGTCATGGCCATACCTTTTGTATCAGCTATGTACTTCTGGATTCATGTTCTAAAACTAACCCTGCAGATATTTTTGCAATACTTTATTGATTTCAAGATTTCAGTTTGATTCTTTCTTTCTTGTTTGGATTCAGCAAAATCTAAGCTAAGTCATTCCACTAAGACTCTTCCTCATTGAGAGAAATTACAATTATTTTTGTAATTGCTGTGCCTGCTTCTGAGGTTTTAAGTCTGCTTTAAAGATGGCATTTTGTATTGGGATAGGAGACAGAGACACAGGGTAAGAAGGTCTTGGACTTAAAGGGCAGGAAAGGAAACATGTCATTCTGTAGTGGAGAGCAGGTCAGTGGACAGTAATTTTACAGCAAAAATGGAGGTGATTCTTGGCATCTGTCCATGATTAGGCCTCCCCATAAAATAATTTCTCAGATTGAATTGTGAAGTGGATTAACAGCATTTGTATTTATTACCATATCATTTTAATGCAGATACGTAATAAAACAGTAGTTGAGGAGGACAGACTTTTCTGATATATTCTTGAATCATCCTTTGTTTAAGCAACTGCTGAGAAAAAGATTGTGTTTAAATTCTACCTGATCAAAAAGACAGGTAAACATTATGAAGGAGAGACTCTCCAAACTGCTTTCCAGTGAAAACAAAGCAAAATGGAGACATCTAATTAAAGTGATAGTCTCTGGGCAAGTTGCATAGAAATACTGGAAATCCATAATTTTTCTTTTATTTTTTGCTAATAATAAGAAAGAAAGCAAAAGAAGAGCTTTAAATGTGCAGGAATCTTTTTTCTGATTAGCCTGAGCACAATCAAAAAGGAAAAGGAAAAATATTGCAAAGGCAAATTTGCAGTGATTTTGGTTTTCCTGTAGTCATAATAAGATGGATCCTAAGATGTCCCAGGAAGGAATTGTGCTCAAGTAAAGAGAACAAATAATACGCAAAGGTCTAAATGAATCTATGAAAAAATTATAGAATGAAATGTGTATTACAATTTAGGTTTAGTGAAAATGGTAACCACTTTGCTACCAGAGCAGGGTTTAGTAAACCATAGCATTCAAACCTTATTTGGCCTGTGGTTTGGTTTTGTACCAGCAAATGAAGACAGGTGTTTGCATTTTTAAAGGATTGTAAAAACAAACAGCAGAAAATACCCACAAAACCTAAAACATTTACTATCCGGCTCTACAGAAAAAGTTTGCTTATGTCTGCTTTAACTAGAGGAACTTTAAACCATGTAATGTTTGTGTTTGCCTAGTTTTAAAAGTCCTTTGAAGAAAAAAAAAACCAGGAATATTTTCTGGAAAAGTTGGTGTATTTCTGCAGAGCCATGTACTATTGGGCTATATATTCAATTGTCTGGGCTCTGCTATCTGATTTACTAGCTGCGTGGGACTTTATGTAAGTTATTCAACTCTTCTGAGATTTAGTTTCTTCATTAGTAATATATGTATGTGATTATGGGATTTACCTCTGGGGTTTTCGTGAATATTAAGTGGGATAGTGCATATTACATGCTTAGCAGTACTTGACTAAAAAGAAATGCCCAATAAAAGTTAGCTGTTATTTACTGTGAAAGCGTTAGATGCAAGCATTCCAGAATCATCATTTTTTAAAATTAATTCAATTATTTATTTGACAGAGAGAGAGAGAGAGAGAGAGAGAGACCACAAGCAGGGGGAGTGGCAGAGGAAAAGGGAGAAGCAGGCTCCCTGTTGAGCAGGGAACCTGATGTGGGACTGGATCCCAGGACCCTGAGATCATGACCTGAGTCCAAGGCAGCCGCTTAACCAACTGAGCCACCCAGGCACCCGAATTCCAGAATTATTGCAACAAGGAAACAGACTTAACAGTGTTATACAGGTAGAATTTTCATGACATCCTAGTTTCTGCCCAATGAGGAAATTTATACTCAGTTTGGAGCCCATGCAAGAATTTCTCTTCCCACTTAAACTTGTGAAATTAACTCAGAACATTGTCATAGGTAGGAAGAAAATACTTGTAGCTGGCTAGAGACCTTGGCACAAAGCTCACAGTAGAGATATGTATGCAGAACCACAGTACCAAAAAGCCCTACAAAACAAACAAAAGCTGTTTTCAGGTTGAATAAAACAAAATTACAGATATTTTACAGAGCATGCCAAGAAACTAACCCATTTCATTTATACCTGATAAAGTGAACTTTGAACCACTGTACAAGTAGAAACTGAAGAAAAGCCACATCTCACCCTGAATTGCCTTGAGACAAGAATAATGAGGTTACAAAAAGAAACTCCTTTTTGTGCTTGTTAGATGCAAAACATGACAGCCTAAATAATATCAGGGGTGTTAGGATAAGAGAATTATCTATAAGGGCTTGTGTCATTGGAGAATATAACTAGCCTAGTGTTTTAAAGGCAGAACTTTCTAAATGATAGCAACTTAAATATCTTTCATGGACTTTACCAGTATAGCGAACCCAGTTTCAGAGAACATGATTGGGAGATTACATATGTCCATGTATCTTTGGGCATGTCCAGGCATGGTTCACTTACATGGCTTGATGGGGTGGTGGTCATGAGGAGCAGGAATTTGGATTTAATACATTCACTGAGATGGGCTTTTTGGGAATGGAGCCAGCTGTGGTTTCTTGGAAGTAGCTCAGTGTAGCAGGTAGAAAATGGCATTCAAAGTCAACAGACAATAAATGTAAAATAAGTAAGCAGTTGGCACCAAGGGTTACAGTCCAGGGGGGAATTTCCTGACAGACAGTTGAGGGACAGCAATACAAAATCTAGAAAGGAATAGGTAATATTTGGAAATGGAAGCCAACAGGAAGGCATCAGCAGAGCACTAAATCTTAACTGGTATCCAGTCTAAAGGGCTAGATTTGGGAGTCAGGAGTTTCAAGGGCAAGTACCTTTACAAAAGATGAATTGACTGTGTATGTGTGGATTTTTGATGGATTACCTCTTCTAGTCCATTGAACTTTATGTCTATCTTGACAGCAATACCACATCATGTTGATTACGTTAGGTTTATATTGTCTTACATTAGGAAGTGTAAGAACTCCAACTTTTTCTTCCTTTACAAATTTGTTTTGACTATTCTAATTCCTTGACTTTCCATATACGCTTTAGAATCAGCTTGTCAGTTTCTACAAAAAATATATTGAGATTTTGATTGGGATTGCATTTGATGTGTAAGACTAGTTTGGAGAGAATTGAATCTTAACTACTAAGTCTTACAATTCCTAAGCATAGTATCTGTGCCCACTTGGATCTTATTTATTGTTTGTTTGTTTAAGTTTTATTTAAATTTCAGCTAGTGAACATACAGTATTAGTTTTGGGTATACAATATAGTGATTCGACACTTCCACATAACACCCAGTGCTCATTGTAACAAGTGTACTCTTTCATTTCCATTACCTGTTTCACTCATCCCCCCACCCACTTCCATTCTGGTAATCATCAGTTTGTTCTCCATAGTTAAGTCTGTTTCTTGGTTTGCCCCTCTCTTTCTTATTTTCCCTTTGCTCATTTGTTTTCTTAAATTCCACATGAGTTAAATCATATGGTATTTGTCTTTCTCTGACTGACTTACTCCACTTAGCATAATATGCTCTAGTTCCATCCACGTTGTTGCAAATGGCAAGATTTCATTCTTTTTATGGCTGAGTAATATTCCATTTGTGTGTATCTGTGTGTGTGTGTGTATATACCACTTCTTTATCCATTCATCAGTTGATGGACACTTGAGCTGTTTCTGTAATTGACTATTGTAGATAATGCTTCTATAAATACCAGGGTATACATAGCCTTTGAATTAGTAGTTTTTCCACAGTGGCTGCACCAGTTTGTGTTCCCACCAACAGTGAAAGAGGGTTTCCCTTTCTCCACATCCTTGCTAACACCTGTTGTTTCATGTGTTGTTGATTTTAGCCATTCTGACAGGTATGAGGCGATATTTCACTGTAGTTTTGATTCACATTTCCCTGATGATGAGTGATGTTGAGCATCTTTTTATGTGTCTGTTAACCATCTGTATGTCTTCTTTGGAAAAATGTCTATTCATATCTTCTGCCCATTTTTTAACTGGGTTATTTGTTTTTTGGGTGTTCAGTTGTATAAGTTCTTTATATATTTTGGATGCTAACCCTTTATCAGATAATGTCATTTGCAAATATCTTGTCCCTTTCTGAAGGTTGCCTTTTAGTGTTGTTTCCTTTGCTGTGCAGAGGTGTGTTATTTTGATGAAGTCCCCATAGTTTATTTCTGCTTTTGTTTCCCTGGCCTCAGGAGACGTGTCTAGGAAGAAGTTGCTGCGGCCTATATCACAGAAGTTACTGCCTGTGTTCTCTTCAAGGATTTTTATGTTTTCAGGTCTCACATTTAGGTCTTTCATTTATTTTGAATTTACTTTTGTGTATGGTGTAAGAAAGTGGTCCAGTTTCACTCTTTTGCATGTTGCTGTCTAGTGTTTCCCAGCACCATGTGTTGAAGAGACTGTCTTTTATCCCCCTGAATACCCTTTCCTGCTTTGTTGAAAATTAGTTGACCATATGGTTGTGAATCCATTTCTGTGTTTTCTATTCTGTTCCCTTGATCTATATGTCTGTTTTTGTTCTAG